TTATAAATAACTCTCATTGTTCTTTTGATGTAGTCCAAGAAGAAATGTCTACTGTTGTATATACTGGCAAGGGCTGCATTTGTGTTAGAACTCCATGTGAATTTATAATCATTAATAGTGTCATCATCCAGCCTATGCTGCCATATATCAATCGTTGCTTTTGCAATATTAGCATGATTGTAGGATGTGATTTCCAATTTCGTGTACCTGTTTGGACTGTGCAACATATGAAAGCCTATCCCTCTTTATATAAAGAAATATTTCCTATTTCACTTGGACTTGGCCTTTCTACTCTTAAAAATCTGCTTTCTCACCCCTCTCTCAAGCAAGAATTATTGAAACTCAGAGATATGGGTGAAAATGCTGCTCTTGAGATTCACCATAACAATCAGGAAATTGCGCAGATTGTAGCAAAGGTTACATCAGCTGGAGACCATGCCTGGTGGGAGGTGCTCCTGGGATGGTCACCAAGTTCAAATGGAGTACTAAATATTGCTCTACACCCTATTGTGATGATTTTAATCTTTCAAATAATACTGGTGATTTGCTTATTGGCATTGGTTGGGTGGATGAAATGGCAAGCAAGTAGATTGCATTATCTACAGAAGCAGATAGTTTCTACCAAAACAAAAGTGTGATGGAAATACTTGCCAGGCCACCTCCCATGAACAAGGAGACATTGCTGTGTCATGTCCTTTTGAAGACTTTACTTATGTTCTTAGTTTTTGTTTCTACTTACTAAATGTTCAATTGCTAAATGTCCACCACTTATGGAAAAGAATATTTGTCTGCAAGGGTTGTGTGCTAGCTTTTGTTGTTCTGTTGTTAAGGAAAAGTGAGTATCTTAGTGACTAAATCTTTGGGTGCACAAAACCAAAAATTCCTTGTATCCCAATGCAGACAGGATTGCTATTTACAACTTTATAATTGATAACATTATATATGTTTCGGTCACTGTTCTATTGGTAAATACCCCAATTAAATATTTAGTGTTCTTCTTTTCTGGAAATAGCTTGGGCATTTCTACTTTTCTATTTGTCGTAGAAAACCTTGATATCCTTCTTGGTAGACAGATGGTTCTGCTGCTTAAAAGCACCAAAATCCAGTATTCCATTTCTTTTTACTTCAGATGATGCCTTAACACAGTCTGAAAAAAACTGACTTAATCCTACCATTGAAGATCCTTCTTATGCATATGTTAACTCTCAATGGACACTGCCTGACAGCTTTAGCTCACTGCAGCTCATTCTCTTTTAATATCTTCCTTACTTCAGAGATACTTTGGTTGTGATTTTATCTATTACTGTTTTTAATAAAAATGTTGTATTGTTCCAGTGTCTACTTTGTTTTAATTTATAAGAATGCAAGGATACCCTATTGAATACACACAAGTGATCAATATTTAGATTCTGATTATTAAAATTGATCAGCATCTTGCTTTTGATTCATGAGCAGGCACAGTAAGAAATTAACTTCTCAGCTTTCTTAGAGGTTCACAAATGTTTTGAGGGTGATAAGCAAGGGAAATCTCAGCAATTTTTATTGATTTTATGCTCACATAAAGACGATTGAGTGACTTGGGCAGTTATTTGGTTGCTTTGGCTAATTATTCTTGATGCTGTGATGAAGTTTGGTTCTAGTGATTTTTTTAATAAATGCATTGAAACTTGGTCCTTTTAAAATATTAGATATCTGAGAAACCTAAGGTGAAAAACAGGTTTACATGTTTTTGATTAAAATAAAAACACTCTGGGTATATATCTCAAGTTGTGATGGAGTGGCTAGTGAAAGTACAACTGAACTTTTGAGATAATAGTGACAAAATTATAACCATACACTTTAATATATCTTTAATATCTAAAATCATAAGAGTATGTCTAATTTATTTTGCTTATGTCATGCGTGCAAATTTATTGAAGAAGGCAATGATGCTAGGAATGGTTTGTAGAACAAGAAGAAGAGGAAGCAAAGAACATGCTGGCTTGATAATATCAAATCTGATACAAAGTTGAACATGCAACAATTGAAAGAAGCTGTGCTTGATAGAGTAGAATGGAGAGAACTTGCCTATAAAGTCACCAAGAATCAGACACGATCAAATGGTTAAAACAGCAACAACTTTATCTCACTGTTGAAACAGTAATCTGGTGATTATGTTGGCTGGTCATATTATTTTAATAATATAAATCCAGATTATATCATTATATGTAGAAGTCCTAATAAAAGCAATAGTGACCAGTTTTCTCTTAAAAAAAACATTGTCAGATAAATAGCTTCTGTGTTATCTTACTTTATTGCACATATTTGCTAGGAGTAATTTATCCAATAAATAACTATTCATCCAGGGTCTTTAATTCTTTCACATAGTGCAGAATTGCATGTGATAAAAAAGTTTTATTCTTAGAATGTATGTTGTAATTCCATAACAGTGGCCAGTGTTTTGTGAATGTAATTGGTACCATTTATCAGTAACATGCTTCTGCCATTAAGATGTTTTTTTGTGACCTGATGTCCTTGGGAAGTTTTCCAGAGGTTCTGGCTATCTCTAGCAATAATACTGGTACATAGCAGCATTTCCTGTTTTGCAAGTCTGTTCAGCCAATGTATGGGTTGTCTGTCAATTAGATGCAGTCTGTTATTGGATATGATCTAGGATAGCAGTAAGACCATGGTGGCAACTACTATCATTTATAAATAGGAAAATAATGTACTTTGTGGAAAAAATGTTTTTCTTTTTAGAGATTTAAGTACACAAAGCAGATACCTATTGATAACTTCTTTTAAAATGAGTTCTAGGAATAGGTTGCTGATTGATGCTTATGTAAACAAAATAGGTACAATGTACTACTTTATTTCCACTGGTGTGCGTGAAAATAGGAGTACATGTCCTAGAATTGTGTTTGTTCTCTGGACGTTCAGAAACGTGACTGAGGTCACTACATATGAGGATTCTGCCCTAGTTTGAAAGCAGCCTCAGATCCCTGTGATCTTATAACACTGATATTGTTAAGAGCAAGACCTATTTATTTCTGGTTCAGAGACAAACATATGAAACTGCACTAAAATAAATTATTTTTTTATTTTGAGTACTTCATGCACGCTTTATATACTAATATCCTATTTTGAACATCTTTGAAATATGAATATCTCAATCACTCCATTTCCTGCAGTCAAAACAATTATTATTACTTTTTTCAAATTCTGCAGAGGTTTAGTTGCATTTACGAGAAAGTTAAGAAATTTGTGGATGGTTTGCAGCCCCAGAGACTTGATTCTGGGTTGCAGATAGTATTCTTGCCAAGTGCTCATTTCACTTTTTCAAGGCTGTTCTATGCTCAGGAGGAGTTATAAGGATCTGTAAAGAATTTACAAAATATGAATCAATCCTGGCTGCATTTTCCTATTCCTGCCATTGCAGCAACACTATTGGAGCTGCTGCAAAATAGCTGATATCTGCATTTTTGTTTCCCAATTCATAGTAACATTTCCATAGAAATGGAAGGATTAATACTTTTGCAGGTGGGTAGGTTCCCTTGTATCCAGATTTTTTTTTCCCATGATAAAATGAGAGCCAGGCAAACACATGCCACATGTATTAAAATGTATATGTGGATAGAATTTATAATAATTCATTTTTAATGTATGTGGTGAGGATGAAGGTTTCTGTTACTTCAGAAGCAGGGCACTGAGTGAATCTCTTTTTCCCTCTCCCCCCTCCCCCCCTTTGTGTCTTTCTCTTTCTGAATTCTTAAGTCACTGGGAAAGAGCACAAATTAGTTCATGATTCACTCCAGCTCTTGTTCTCTGTGGTGAATTTAAATTATTCAATATACTGTTTTGTTTTGTTTTTTAAAAAATATTTCTTGCTAAAGCAAGAAAAATGCACAATACCTTTCCCTCGACATGTGCTTTTTAAACAAAGTTTAACATTTATTGTACATACTTGGATGTTTTTTTAAAAAAAACATATATAGTTTATTGTTTTTTTAATAGCTGAATTTGAAAAATCAGAGTGAGCATCTTCAAAAATATTTTCATTTTTTATTTTCTCTGTTTATCATATATAAAGTTATATATTTTCTAAAATAAAAATAAATATATCAGGATAGAGGGACGGAGACCATGAATTCTAGTTCTGCCTTGGTAAGTCACTTCTGAAAATCTTGCCAAGAAAACTACAGGGACTAGTCCAGGAAGTTACTAGAAGTCAACACTGATTCAAAGGCACAAAAACAAATCCTATTCCAATTATTTTTGTGATGTGTTCACTGTTGCTTCATCTGTTTGTTTTAGTTATTAAAGAAAATATATTATGAACTATAGGTAGGCCAGCTGCATATGTACAATACTGTTAGAAATCAAGAAATTCTTAAAAATTCAGCACTTCAGCACAGTATTCAGAAGTTGCTTATCTGGCTAGTACAGCTATTGGAGATAGACCAAACATGTGGCAATCATTTAGAATAAGAACACCTGCAATTTATTTTTTGCTATTGGCACATGAGATAATTATCCTGTTTAATATTATGTGTTCCTTTCTGCTTTAGATTTTATATTTGTCAGAAACATTTAATGGGGGAGAGGTGGGAAACTAAAGATCCAGGTAGCTGAAACGGAACATTCTCAGCTTTATTGCTCTTAAATTACATCTTGTTCACTAATCATAATGTTGCTGCTATAGATAAAAAATTCAAAAGCTTGAATGAATCTCCCTTGAGCATTTTAACTATTATTATCCCAGGATTGTTAGCTGACAGTAGCAGAAACCTTTCCTAGCCTACTGACTTTTTAAAGTCATTTTTTTTATTTCATGTTGTAAACCACCAAAATGCCTTGCAGCACAATATTCATTTGTGTCTGCTTTATTTTCTGCTTCAGTTGCTCTTTTTAATTACTTATAATTGTTAACAGCTGCTTTCTTATATGTTGAGTTAGCTAGATGTCTGGTCTTGTATTTATCTGAAATAGATAAAGTTTTTAAATGAGTATTAATTTCACAGGAACAAACCCCTCTGCCATCTTGGGAAGTGAGAAGTGTTAACCCCACTCATGACTGTAGAATTCTGTGTTCCTTTGTGACAATAGCTATATGGGTGCTGTATCCTGTCCCCAAACATCCTGATTAGAGGTAATTCTTTTAGAAAAAATGTGAAATAGATCTTGTTGATTTGGTCTGATAATTTCAGTAGAGAGCTGTCTTCAATTTGAACATAAGTCTGGAATATTTTACAACTTTACCTTTACAATGGATCAGATTTTAGGTACTGTGTCATACATGTAGCTGCATCTAAATTTTTGACCATGAGAGATGTAATATACAGTTCAGTCATGTGTATGTAGACTTTTAGCCACTCTATTAGAATAGAATGTTGACCAGGGTATACCATTATGGAGATAATCTGCACTTCATACCCAGTCATAATTATAACATCTATCTTATTGCGATTTTGTGGCACCATATTATGGTGATTTTATCATGGTTTTATCTTACTATTTTATCTTGTATATTGTATATATATATATATACATATTTGTGCGCGTGCACGCACACACACACTGAGTTTTCCCAAAAATAAGACCAGTCTTCTTCTTCTTCTTCTTCTTCTTCTTCTTCTTCTTCTTCTTCTTCTTCTTCTTCTTCTTCTTCTTCTTCTTCTTCTTCTTCTTCTTCTTCTTCTTCTTCTTCTTCTTCTTCTTCTTCTTCTTCTTCTTCTTCTTCTTCTTCTTCTTCTTCTTCTTCTTCTTCTTCTTCTTCTTCTTCGTATTCTTCTTCTTCTTCTTCTTCTTCTTCTTCTTCTTCTTCTTCTTCTTCTTCTTCTTCTTCTTCTTCTTCTTCTTCTTCTTCTTCTTCTTCTTCTTGCCTTCAAAAGAGGCACCAGGTCTTATTTTCAGGGGATGTCTTTTATACTCACCTCCAGCACTGACAACCTTGCCCAGCTGATCCACTTCTTCTGTGACTGAAGGAACAGCTTCATTCTGCAGCTGCATTCCGGCCTGCATTTTGCACTCAGGCCTTTCCGGAAGGCCACTGCAGCCAAGTACCGAGCTATGGATTCAATCCATAGCTCGGTTCTCGGCTGCAGTGGCCTTCCGGAAAGGACTGTGACTGAGAAGTACAGGCCTGGCTGCAGAAGACGCCACAAAAGAAGTGGGCCCGGCGAGGAGAGGTCTGGCTGTGAGGTAAGCACGTGTGGGGTGTGTGGGGCAGCTCCACCCCCCCACTCCTGCCCTAGCTTGATTTTAGATGTGTGCCTTGCCCCAAAACTAGGGCTTATTTTTGGGGTAGGGCTTATATTAGGCCTACCCCCCAAAGTCAAGCTAGGACTTATTTTGGGGGTAGGTCTTCCTTTCAGGGAAACACGGTATATATGCTGATGTTTTATTAAAACTTACATTTGTGTTTCCATGTATAATGTGTTTTATTATTATTGGATATCAGTGACTGCATGACTTCTGTAGATGCCATGTACTAAATAAAAAATACATGTAGCATTATGCTGATTAGATGAATACATTCTCCAAGTTTAATGTGGCCCTGTTGAGTTGAATTAAAGTGCTTACAACCTATAATCAGTCCTATATAGTAGCATTAATATCACATTTCTTAGTAACCAGTTGTCATTTGAAGACTTATCAGATTTTATACAGTTATGATGAGTATTCTGAAGAAGTTAATTAGTTTGTTATACACATTGTGTTAGAATTTCAGATTGTGTGCTACTAGAATAATTTGCAGTGCTAGCAATCTTTAATTTTATTTTCTGTTTGCTCAAAGGAATAGATTACTCATTATAGAAACATTTTAAGGAATGTCCTGGAATCATATTAAGCTGGGAACATATAGTATGTAAATTCTTTCCAAAATACAAGTTTTATTGCTTTGATGGAATTTAAAAATGAAAATAGTCTAATATGAGATTAAGTAGTTCTTATATAATATTGATATTTTAATATGTATTTTTTCTGTGTTTAGTTTCATTTCAATCCACCTTAATATGTATTAAATGCTCATCCTGAAGATTTTGCATTCACTTTATATAGCCTTTTTTAATCAAGCAATTGTTTCTAAATCATGATGAATAGTTTCTCTTTTATATGTGATATTTCCTGCAGTGCAAGTGTACAAGGTGAAGCCAAAAATAACACTGTATGTGAATGGAGCCTTACTATCCATTACGAGGCTCTGAATTTTTCTCTCTTTTTCCATAATAAAAGGAAATTAAAATAATTGTCTGAGGCAAAGATTGCAGCAGTACCATTTTTGATCTCTAAAGTAAAAATTTACAAAGCTGCAATAAGAGAAATAGTAAATTTGTATCAGTTGTTCAGATAAACTGTATAGGTGTATCATTTGTCAAAAGAAATTGATAGAATACAAGAATAAAAAGAATCAGAATTTAAAAGAGGAAATTTAAAAAAAAACACTGAAGAAGTAAACAAATAAAAAAGTAAGATTATAAACACCAGAAAACAATGATCAAAAAAACTACCAAGGAAAAAACAATTTCCACCAACACTGGCAAGGCAATTTACTAAACATAAACAGGGAGCAAACACCACACTCATTTTCACTGATGATATCATCTAGTTGGGTAATTAAACATTTCAAGCAAACAGCCAAGCTCAGAGAGCACCAAGAATTTCACAATAGCAAGAATATGTAATTGTGGTTGGAAATAGCATTGTTTTAGCAATTAGAATATTTGCTAGCCATATGTTTAATTATCTCTTTTATATATTACTTGTAGTCTGTTTTCAAGAAGATCTACACACATGTGCTCCCCACCATCTGTAGAAAGTTAGGAATAGTGGCAGGTGATAGCCTCCCACCTCTAAAGTCTTAGTTTCTATTTAGGGGGCATGTTTTTGTGAATGAGTGCAGTGCTACACAGACAGAGTTTAAAAGTATCTTCCATAGATTTCTGTTTTTCTTTTTCAGTATCAGATCATTATGGTCCACAGGTCTTTCTCTTCTTTGTATTTGAAATACTAAGACAATTTGCATTGGGGATAGAATTTATATATTTTTCACGTATAAGTTATATAGATTCTTATAGATCTGGGGTAATTGGCCATGAAATGCTAAGAAAGCATCATAGCAGCATTATTTTTGTTTTTTAAACTTCTAATGCCTTCTGTGTGTTTTTCTTCTTTTTCATGAAGGTTAGCCGGAACAGCCTGGTAGGGGCCCATTTCCAGAGAGACGTGGATGATGCCAGAACTATGACAGGGACTGCAGTCTTGGCATTGAAGGGAGGTGATCAGTTATGGAACAGTCAAAGGAGGAAGTACCTGAAGTCAGGAAAGAAGAGGAGGAAAAGGAAGAGACAGTGATGGCAATAAGTGGAACCTCAGAGCCAAATGAAGGTCTAGATAATTCGGCACCATCTGCCAGGTATACAGGTAGGTTGGAAAAAGATACTAATGCCTTAGAGACACTTAAAGGAGCAATGGACATATTTGAATACTTTTTTCCAGTAATTTGTTCTCAGTGGGATGACGTTTTCCTTATGATTATAACAAATTTATTACAGACTTTATATATTAATTCCTAGCTTTCAAATGTATTAAGAAACTTTCCTTTATTTTTGGTTTGCACACTTAGTGTGCTTTGGGTCCCTTAGGTTTAGGACCTTGGAACCATGCCTTGTCTTTAGCCACACCTGCCCTCCACACTGAGGTTGCCCCTGAGATTTGGATGCTCCCCACCCTGTTGTTATTCAGAAGGGCCTTGAAGACCTGGCTCTTTGCTCAGGACCTTTGTGAGGGAGAGTTAGGACCTTCATCCTTCTCCTATCTGTCATAATTGAGAATGCTAATGGCACTACTCTGACAACTGAAAATGTAAATGATCTGCAAGCTCTAGTAATAAAAATCAAGGACGATAGTGAAAAGAAGCAGGGTTAAAATATAAAGAAGATTAAAATAATGACAACAGGTATAATAACCTGCCTTGGAATTGATAATGAATTTACTGAAGTGATAAATCATTTCTTTTTTTAGGATTGACTATCAATAGTAAAGGGACCATCAATAAAGAAATAGATTATAGACTAGCATTTAATAGAGTAGTAATGAAGGTCTTGGAAAAGATATTGTATGCTGAGAAGTGTGTATAACTAGAAATATCAGAATTGTGAAGGTGATGATCTTCTCCTTAACACGCTGTGGAAGGGAAAGTTGGACTTTAAAGAAGCAGGATAGAAAGCATGTTGATGCTTTTGAAATTTGTTATTGGAGAATAGCATGGATAGCCAAGAAAGCAAATAAATAAATAAATACTACGAATAATGAAGAAAAATACCTTAATTATCCTCTTGCAACACTGATTGAAATCCTTGCAGTTTGATCACATAAACCATCTTAAAGGATAGATAGATAGATAGATAGAGAGAGAGAGAGAGAGAGAGAGAGAGAGAGAGAGAGAGATAGTTACTAACTGAATTAGTACAGATTGTTAGCATATAAACATTGTCTTTTTCCTTTTTAGTCAAAATTGAAAAAAAATACTGGATGAAGTTCATATTATAAAATTATTTGCTTATACTTAAAAACAATCTGAATTTATTATGCTACATTAACATTAGGATTTGAACATATATGGGTCAAAACATACATAACAGCAAGCTTTCAACAAAAGTTGAAAAGAATATGATAGAGCAGCAGTTCTCAACCTATGGGTCGCGACCCCATTTGGGGTCGATCGACCACTTTTCGGGGGTCGCCAAAGGCGTCGATCTGCCATTTTGTCCCCTCCGGGGGCGGCGTCGCGCATGTGCACCGCGCATGGGGGGGCGCCACGCCCCGGGGGTGGCATCGCGCATGCACGCCACGCATGGGGGCGGTGGCGCGCCTCCGGGGGTGGCGCCGCGCATGCGTGTTGTGCATGGCCCTGCGCATGCACGCCGCACGCGGGGGGGGCGCCCCCATGCGCACCGCGCATGCGCATAACGTTTGTGTGACGGGGGTCGCCGTCACACAAACGTTGAGAACCGCTGTGATAGAGTAAATATGATTCTGAAAAAAATAAATATTTTAGGCTAATGTCTGCCAAGCTTTGTTGCAAACCCATGTTCAAATTGCTGGACATAAAGATTGGAATTTTTCCCTATGAGATAGTTGCTTCCAGATTTTGCATTGTAGTGTTTGCCATATAATACCGGTAGTCATCAACTTGCAACCACAGTTAAGCTTGGAATTTCAGTTATAAGTTGAGTCATCATGGGCATTAAGTGAACATAATTGTTAAGCAAATTGCATAGTCATACATCTAAATACAGCTTATCCAATGGGGCAGTTTTTACTGGAAAACAACAAAACATGATCATGTAATTGTGGGAAAAAGCAGTGGGAGTGACTTGTGACCTGCCAGCTTCCCATTGATTTTGCTTGTGGAAAGCTGGCAGGAAAGGTTTCAAATGATGATCAAGTATTGCAGGATGCTGCAACTTTTATAAATGTGAGCCAGTTGCTAAGTACCCAAATTGCAATCATGAGACCACAGGGATGCTGCAGTGGTTGCAACTTAGAGGGCTGGTCATAAATCCCCTTGTTCAGCACTATTGTTAGTTTGAATGATCATTGAAGGAATGAACATAATCAGATTTAGTAATTACAAATGTAAAGTAAATAAGCAAAGCAAAAGGACCAGAGATTTGTACCAGGTCGTACTTTATTGCAAAATTACAATGTTAATACCTTCCTCATTCTGTTTCCGGATAGATCTTTCTCAGAGTTCGTCTCCTTCTCTGTTGGACCAACTCCAGATGGGCTGTGATGAAGCAAATTCAGGAAGTCTAAACATGGAATGTAGAGTCTGTGGTGACAAGGCATCAGGGTTTCATTATGGGGTACATGCATGTGAAGGCTGTAAGGTAAGGATAACACAAATATTAGATATAACCTTATGAGAGGTAGACTGTGGGGTCCTTGATGCTCTCTAAGTTTGGAAGTCTTCTTGCAGATGTTTCATTACCAAATTAGGCAACATCATCAGTGCTAAAAGGAAGTGAGGTTTACTCTTATTTTTATATACTAGTGGTTGCCCTGCCAGTGTTGGTGAGAGTGTGGTGGGGTTCCTTGATCAAGGTGTTGTCTACTGTTAGCTTGTTTGTGTTGGTCATTCTTTGATTGGGATATTGTTTATTTCTAGTGTTAATCTTGGTATTAATCTCTGTTCATATGGGTGTTGATTGTTGGGGAGGAGGTGTTTTGGGCTTTTTGATTGTCTCTTTTGAGTGGTATGTAGATGTTGTTTAACTCTATCTGCCCGTTGATGGCCAATTTATCTGAGTACCAAGCCTCCAGGAATTCTGGGCATTTTTGATCTAGGATTGCTCACAATTTTCCAGTTGAAACTATGGTTGACTCTGTTCATGTATTATGAAATAAAGGAGTTTTCATCATATCTTCTGTCTGCTAGTTGGTGTTCACAGATATGCTGTGCTGATCTTCTAGCTGTTTGTCCTACATAGTGGCTGTTACAGTCCTTACACTGTAGGTTGTAGATGACTCCTGTTTTTTTCTCCTGGGTGTGCTGGGTCTTTTGATTTACTTAGGCTGTTTTGGAGGGTTTGGTTGGTTTATGTGGTACGATGATGCCATATGGTCATAATAGTCTGTTGTGATTTCTGATATGTTTTTGCTGCATGGCAACGTTGTGCTTTATGCTTTTTATAGCTTGTGTTGGTTGAGTTATGGTGCCTTGAATGGTCGGACACTTTTTGATAAAGTACATGGATATCCATTTTGTTGGAAGTCATTGTATAGTTTCCTTTTTTCCAATGTTCAAGGTTGCTGCAGTGTGTTTGTGCTCATCTAAATAGACAAGCTTTTCTTGTGGGAGATTGAATTGTTACTTTGAAAGTGGAGCACCTGGGTTGTGTGGGAAGTTTTTCAATAGACATGTGTTTCTATTTTATCATCACTGCCTCTGCTTATGAGGATATCTAAAAAAGGGAGTGTGTTGTTGTTTTCTTCTTGTTAATTTTATTCCTTTGAAGATGTTGTTGATAGTTTTGTGTGTTTTCTCTAGTTGGGTCTTTTTTATTATTAGCATTGATGATGTTCTCTAATTCAGTAATGAAACATCTGCAAGAAAACAACCAAGATAAGAGAGCACCAAGGAGGCCACAGTTCAACTCTAAGCAAGAAATATTCTCTAGGGAGAGAAAGATGGAACTAGAAAATGTAGAAGTCCTTTTTTTGTTGCTGCTGTCACTTTTCATTGAATCTCTCCTCTCCCAGAATATAGAGATCTCTTTTAGAAATTAGATTGGCTGTATGTGATAACTGAAAAAAGACCTTTGTGTGCACAGAGATGGGAAGACTCACAGATTCGCACAATGGAAGAATGGGTGGTGCAGTTAATGGAAGTAGCTGAGATGGCAAAATTAACTACCTTGATTAAAGAAAAGATTTTGTCTAGCTTTGTTTCTACATGGAAACCACTTTTGGACTTTTTCATAGAAACCAAACAAATGCTATACTAAGTTTGGGATTTGACAACTAGAGTTTATGAGTATAGAAATATAATATTGAATTTTACATCAAACAGTTAATGTATTGTATATTTGTAACTAAATCAAAGAAAGTTGGAGTTCCCTTTTTTCTGTTTTCTTTCTCCTTATTCCTTTGCACCTTCCTCTTCCATATTTGTTTTTCCTTCTTAATTTTTTTTCTTGTTTATTTTAATGATTTAAAGGATGTAGAGGATTTATATGGCTGCTTACTCTGGGCAGCTTACAAGCAATAAAAACCCAATATAAAAAGAATAAAAAACAGTAACCTCCCACCTACCCCCACCCCAGGAATAACAAGCAATCAAACGAGCCATTTGATGGGTTCCAACGCACTCTGGGCTCCCTAGGATCACTGGCAGAACCAGATCTTCAGAGCCTTGTGAAAGAGTGTCAAAGTGGGAAACAGGCTAATCTCTGCAGGGATGATGTTCCAAAGAGAGGGAGCCACCATGGAGAAGGCCATTATTCTGGGTCCCACTAGACGTACCTCCTTAGGAGACTGAATCCGCAACATGCCTCTCTTTCTAGTGGTTGGGTGGATGTAATCGGGAAGAGCAGTCCTTCAGATAACCTGGTTCCAAGCCATAAAGGGCTTTAAAGGTGACAGTCAGCAGCTTGAATTGTACTCGGAAACAAATCTGCAGCCAATGCAACTCCCGCAGGAGAGGTAATAGTAATAGTAATAGTAGTAAAGTTGGAAGGGACCTTGGAGGTCATCTAGTCCAACCCCCTGCTCAGGCAGGAAACCCTACACCATTTCGGACAAATGGCTGTCCAGTCTCTTCTTAAAAACTTCCAGTGTTGGAGCATTCACTGCTTCTGGAGGCAGGCTGTTCCACTGATTGCACACCTGGGTCTGAAACTTGCACACCTGGGTCTGCACAAAACCATACAGGCCGCTGCATTCTGAACCGAATTGGAGCTTCTAGAAGCTTTCCAAGGGCAGCCCATGTAGAACATGTTGCAATAGTCAAGATGGGCGGTGAGATGGGCATGAGTTTATATTTTATTTTTTGTAGAAATTTAATGAAGTATTTTTCTTCAAAGAAGAAGGCTGCAAGGCACCTAGTAACAGATTTTGTTCTTCATGGTGCCCAGGGTAAATGCTAATAGTATCTACTGGTAAGTAATAACAAAAAAGGTGAGACAACAAGGATGTTGAGAAGTTGGCTTTGTTGATTACAAGTAAAGTCCATCTGGTGGTCACTTGTGAAACTGCATGCCTGCTTCTTTATGTTATATATTAAATATATTTATTTAGGCTCCCCCCCCCCCATTATTTTCTTCATGCAGAAGAAAGGCTTTTTTATAATATGTTTAAGATATCTACTTATTGCTGAAAATATTGTCCTAAGATCTAAGGTGATAGTAAATCTCGCACTTCTGAAAGGGCTATTAATATCAGAATGAAACATCTTTTTGTTTCCAACATCTGTCTTATCACATACCAACAGGGATTCTTTCGTCGAACGATCCGCATGAAGCTAGAGTATGAGAAATGTGAGCGGAACTGTAAAATTAAGAAGAAGAACCGAAACAAGTGCCAGTACTGCCGCTTTCAGAAATGCCTTTCACTAGGCATGTCACACAATGGTGAGATCTCCCTCCTCTTCCTCTGGGTAGGGGTGAAGCATAGAGTTATAGTGAGATCGGTGGAATTATACATTTACTATAAGATAAAATTTAGTAAAAGGAATAAATTTGAGGAATACATCTAAATACAGCTTATCCAATGGGGCAGTTTTTGCTGGAAAACAGCAAAAAACACTGGATAGACTTCTGCTTTGAAAAAAGATATATTTAAGGCATGTGTACCCTGCATACTATTTTGAAATATGTTTTAAAATATTACAGTAGCTAATAAATCAATATCAAACAAAATGGGTGGTAAAAAATATCATTTGAGCCTAAAATAAAAATACGGTTTATGCATCCCAAAATATAAGCCCCTGAATTAGTACATTTGCATTTCCAGAACAAAAATAAAATTGGTTTCCCTATGGAATCTATATAAAAGTATTCTAAATAATTTAATTGTATTGTATGTCTTTGTTTCTTTTCTTAAAACATTTTGAAAGCGTTCAGTATGTTTCTATGTGTTGATGCCTTTGTTGCATTAAAAAAAAACTAAATAAAAAATCCTAGGGTATTTATATGAAGGCACACAGTGATTTTAATGCAGGCTCATTGCACCAAGCAAAGTTTGTATAGTCAGTGTCCGATTGGACAACTGTATGGGAATTCGGTGAATGCTGACCCTTGTTCAAGGTTAGATGGCACTGCAGTAAAAGCTTGGCTTTTGAGTATGAAATGGTTAATCCTACAATAATCTACAATATGTCCAAATTGTTGATACTGAATTGAAGACACATGAACTAACATTTGATCACCTGATCCCAACTGGTATATGGGCTGACCAGAGGCAGAATGATTGCATTTGCTTTAGAGTAGTAGGTAGTAGTTTTCCTCCCAAACTTGCCTGTGTGTAGCACTATGTTTGTACTGCTGTGCCATAAATTTGAAAATGCCTACTAACTCAGCCTTTCAGTTAGCACAAAAGCACCCATCCAGAAGAATGGAAAGTTTCTTTCCACCAAAAAGACATGCCTTTACTTGCCTGGAGAAGGATATGCTACCTTGCACTCCTCATCAGCATTGTACTTGGGGAGGTAATTATCATTAACTGTGTCACCCTGCATGCGTTTACTTTTTTGTAGAATGTCCTTAGAAAGATATTGCTATTTTTTGGATTAAAATGAATTCATTTAAAATGAAGCTTTGTCTGGGAGCAGGTGTGGGCATAGTAACTTGAACAGTAGATTAGAACCAGATGACCTCAGTTTAAATCCCATTCAACCTATAATGTTCATTTATGACCTTGAGCTAAAGTCTGTCTCTCACAGCTGTTATGGTGATAAAATGAGGAACATTGTATATATTTTTTTCTGAACTCTTTGAAGAAAAGGTGGAATATAAACTGAACAAAAACAGATTTATATTTTTCTATAAGAAAAACAAAAAGTTTTAAAAGATATGGTGGCAAGTTAATAAAAATAACTGTCCTTATCCTTTTTAGCTCAAGGTTTTTAAGTCTCCTGCTTCGTTTTGTTTCTTTAGCCATTCGTTTTGGCCGCATGCCAGAAGCTGAAAAAAGGAAGTTAGTGGCAGGACTGACAGCTACTGAAATCAGCTGCCAGAACCAGCAGGTGGCTGATCTGAAAGTCTTTTCCAAGCACATCTACAATGCCTACCTGAAAAATTTCAACATGACCAAAAAGAAAGCACGAGGCATCTTAACTGGAAAAGCCAGTAGCACCCCTGTGAGTACCTCAATTCCAGAAGTTTACATAGTGTATTAAGCAAGAAAGATATTCTTCCCAAAAAAATAGTATATATCCATATTTTTTAAAAAATGATATTTTTAAACTATGAGTATTATTTAAAAAAAAATAGGTGAGATTGATGTGCTGTATTTATAGATAATTAAATGAACTGCCAGCAATTTACATTCCAGTAAAACCTATATATTAAACCTGCAATTAAAACTTTATCAATAGAAATGGCCAACAACTATAACCCAACTTAATAGAAATCATATTTAGGTTTCAAAAGCTCCACAAAAAAACTTCAGAGTCCTATGAAAAATCCCAAGATACATGCTGATCAGACCTCTCATGGGAGGTTTTTCCACAGGGCAGAACATCCCATAAAGGCACTTCTGGGGCCCCACTCTTCTTACCTCCTGCTTATGGAAAATCCTAAGTATTCCCACCTGGAATGACTGCACAGGATAGACTGATTTTACTGTTGTCTTTTTTGAGCTTTTATAAAGACATAAATTGAATTTTAGTATTATTATATTTATATAATTCCATATTTTCATATACAATAAAAATAATGATGTATTTTAACCTGGTTTGACTAAGCTACACTTAACTGAAGAATCTGGTTCTCTGTACATTATATTCTGTTGATTAACACAAAAAGGGGAGGCTTTAGTGATCAGTAGTGTAAATAATAAGCATTGTCACACTCTGCCTCTATGGCAAGGTTTCTCATTACCAAATCCTAATTTTATATGTTGTTCTTCATAGCCTTTTGTGATTCATGACATGGATACCCTGTGGCAAGCTGAAAAGGGTCTGGTGTGGAAACAACTGATAAATGGGATGCCGCCATACAAGGAGATTGGTGTTCATGTTTTTTACCGCTGCCAGTGTACATCAGTCGAGACCGTGCGGGAGCTCACTGAATTTGCCAAGAGCATTCCTAGCTTCATCAGCCTTTACCTTAATGATCAAGTAACTCTCTTGAAATATGGGGTGCATGAGGCCATCTTTGCTATGCTTGCCTCTATCATGAATAAGGATGGACTCCTGGTGGCCAATGGCAATGCTTTTGTGACACGTGAGTTCTTGCGCAGCTTGCGCAAGCCTTTCAATGAAATCATGGAGCCCAAATTTGAATTTGCTGTGAAGTTCAATGCCCTGGAGCTAGATGACAGTGACTTGTCCCTGTTTGTAGCTGCCATCATCTTGTGTGGAGGTGAGAGATTAGAAAAACATTGAGCAAGGGGGAGAAGTAATTCATTTTTAGCAAGAGATCAGATTCAGAGCACTTGATAAATCATTCCCCTGTCAGTTTATGTCACAATATTGGGTAACAGTTTCACAGTGCATAATTTTAATTAATGTCAAAAATCTATTAGATACTTTTCAAAACTTTCCTGCTATTAATAATGAGAGTAAAATATGTGTGGATATAAAATCAATTTAATATCAGTGATATTAAAATTAACTGTATAATAAGATGAGTAAAAATATTATCAAACAATTTCATTCAATACTAATCAAACCTTTATTACAGTCATAGACCAGCATATATTTACTACTACATTTATTTGTTAGATCCTGTGCTTCCTCCAGAGTTTCAAAGCATCATATATAGCATTTTCTCCATAAGTTTTTCCATAAAATAACATCCTAGCAAAATTGGCTGAGATGGCCCAAATAGCCAACTGAATTTTTATCACTGAGGATGAATCTAGGACTTCCTACTCCTAATAAGTACTTTAATCACCACACATTTTGACAGTATGTTAATGTTATATTTTAAAAGTTAAGGCTCAGTTAAAAAGCGAGAAGGCATACATTGCTACTGAGTGAAATTAATATAGTGTAGTCCAGTCATATAATTCTTGTAAATTTTGGCTGTTATTCTGTTGCAGAATCTTAGTTGTGCTATAACCAGACTGCAATAACTAAACTAAGACTCCTTAAGCTTCTCTGTCACTATTTTGTGAATTAATAAAATTAGAAAAAAAGCCCATAATTTCACTGGTGTTCTTATACATAATGAATTGGTATAATTTGGAAAAGTTTGTTACTTGTAAGAATGAGTATAGCTATAACTATAGAGGAAAATTATCTTTTAGAGGGGGGAAAACTCTGTTCCCATCATCTTCAATCAGCTAAGCCAGTAGTAAGAAATAATGAGAACTGAAGTCTAAAAATTTGAAAGGTGTCAGATTGCTGATCTTTAAAGGAAATTGTAGTCTTGGGTGCTCTTGTTTATAGAAAAAGAATTTTTACTGTCAAGCAACTTGTTTGTAATATTGATAGAAATAATCTTAAAAGAGAAACTTCCATACAAGAAGGCAAGCTTAAGATGGTTTTTTTAAAAAATTCAAAATATTTATTCCTCCCTGAAGAAATAAAGGGTGGAGTACAAAGTCATGCTTTTGTGTTTTGTTACTTTGCTTGAAATTGGTTTTGTTCTCAAATCTTGCTGGCTTTCCTAATTTTTCTGCCATCTTTTATATTCAGCAGCATTATGATTTGGCCCTGAGGTTATAGATATGTTAAAGTTTAGGAGAGGAAGTTTAATATCAGTTAATGTTCCTCTATTTAAAAAAAACCCTCCCTAAGCATGATACTGTGGAACAAGCTAGCCTAACATTTATTTTGTAAATATTCCTGAGATAAAAATGTAGAAATTTTGAAAAAACTAAATTACAAAGTCAAATTTTTATAAATAACTTGGTGTATTTCTTTTCTTGTAGACCGCCCTGGCCTAATGAATGTTAAACAAGTGGAGGCGATACAAGACAATATTCTCCAAGCTCTTGAGTTCCATTTACAAGCTAATCACCCAGACATTCAATACCTCTTTCCTAAGTTGCTGCAAAAAATGGCTGACTTGAGACAGTTAGTGACTGAGAATGCACAGTTGGTGCAGAAGATCAAAAAGACAGAGACAGAGACTTCTCTGCATCCTCTCTTACAGGAAATCTACAAGGACATGTACTGAGGAACTTATATTTATCAAATAGGTGAAAGCCATGGAATCCAGCAAATGCTTGTATATTAGCAAAGAAATCTCTGCGTCTTCCATTTCTTTACTAGAATTACTTTACTAGATGATTGGTCTATGCTGTATATGGTGGCTTACAGTAAAAAATTTACCACTTGGTATAGACCAGAGGGCTTCCATTAACATACACTAAATGAAACTTAATTTGTTGCTACAGTTCAGCTCTTAGCCCTATTCCAGAGCTGCTGAGGTATTTACACACACCCTATAAATGTACTTGAATTGTTATATTAGATAACATTAATTGTGCCCAAATTATTATAGCAAGTAGTACCTTTAATTGACAGGTACAAAAATAGCACTTCATCACAATCTTTACATATTATTTTTATATTTCAACAATTTTGGCTGGCCCTAAGTGTAAATTATAAGATATTATAAGGAAATTATATGAATACAGGTAGTCCTCAACTTACAATAGTTCATTTAGTGAACGTTCAAAGTTACAATGGAACTGAAAAAAGTGACTTATGGCCCTTTTTCACAGTTACAACCTATCCAGCATCCCCGTGATCATGTGATCAAAATTTGGGTGCTTTTGGTTCATACTGATGAGCACTGCTGTGTCCCAGGGTCATGTGATCACCTTTTATGACCACCTGACAAGCAAAGTCAATCAGGAAGCCCAATTCACTTAACAACCGGGTTACTAACTTATCAACTGCAGTGATTCACTTAACGACTGTGGCAAGGTCATAAAATGGGATAAAACTCATTTAACAGATGTCTCACTTAACAACAGAAATTGTGGGCTCAATTGTGTTATAGGTTGAGGACTAACTATATAAATTTCCCAAAGAAATATCCAAGGGTAGCATGAAGAACATGAACACTCCTTGCAGCAATTCTTTTAACTGGAAAGGCCTTTGGTTTTCAGCCTCAGTGCACAAAAACAGACATGGCTGAAAGGCTTGTCCCTCCACATGGGTTTTTACATGCCTCTGCTCATTCTATACTTCAGGTTGTTGAAGCTCTTCATGAATTAGTATAGTGCTTGCTTATTTACGTAGAAAAGTGAGCTTCCCTCTCCCTCTCTGTTCAGATACTCGACCAGTAATGAGCTGGATGATAGCGGCCAAAACACATTTGCATCCTTCATTTCAGCTAAAGTAGCTTTAATGTTATCTAAAGTTTGAGAAAAAAAGAATCATCCTGATCACCTGAATATTTTACTTTTGGGGAGGGGAGAATACAATGTAAGAAAGATTTTAAAAGGCAGCAGACAGATTCCTGTGAAATCAGGGTGATTTACGGATGGTAAATAGAGTCAATAGTATTTTATTTTGTGATCTGTGATGCAGTTTCTTATCATGTCCTTTCCAGGAGGAGGATTCTTAATAATTGCACTTTTGTCTTTCCCACAAGCACAAACACCATCCTACCTTTCAGGCCTGGTCATAAGTTATTTCTTCAGTGCCATTTTAATTTAAATTGGTCACTAAAGGAATGATTGTAAGTCAGGGACAACTTAATTGTTTTATGGTAAGTTGTACATGTTCAGAAAACATTTAACAATTCAATGGTCTTATCAAAAATTCACAATTTAATATTTCCCAAGCATTTGAATTGGGTTACAATTTTGGCTCCTTTTTCTTTCATGATTGTTCCTGCTTTATTCCATAGGTGTGTCAGACAATTTTTGTTAATATAAATTTTCAGCATAGGTCTTCTTTACTACAGAAGATTCCCGAGTGTAAGGACTTTATTGTCATATTGATGTGCCAGTAACATGGAATAATTATGCCTCTACCATGTTGATGTAATGTGGAGTTTGTTAGACTTCTTCCTGTGGTAACTTCCAATGTGTCCTGAGTGCAAAATAGATCAACATGGTGGTTGAATGTGGCATTAAGAGCATTGTCATGTAATTGTGGTAATGTTTTTCTTGCTACATTGTTAAGTAGATTCTTAATTTTCAGAGAAGAAAAATTACTAAAAAAAGAACCGGGAATACCAAAAGTAGTATATCTACACATGTATACAGCAACAGAATTTTAGATGATGCAAAAATTACTTAAATTGGCTGGTTGTCCTGACATTTCAGCTCAAATCATGTAGATTTTCTGCTTGTTCTACATAATATTTCAGTTTTTCATTTCTAGATTTAGGTATAGAAATTGACAAAGAACTTTAAGTCTTAATTCATGACACTAATAACTAACAATATTTTCAAACTGACTTTTTAAAAAGTACCACCATTTTGGTGGGGGAGGGGAAATAAAGCAGTGTTTAGCAAGAGCTTTACATGGAGGAAGCCTCCAATTCACAGAACCAGTTAAAAGAATGAGGCGAGTGATAAGAAAGTTTCCTCCTATGCCACTGCCACTGGGTGTGTGTGTGTGTGTGTGTATACATTAGTCAAAAAACAGTTCGACCTTGTACAAATTAGCTTTCTATGCTTTCTTTTATGTTCTTAGTTATCCAAGAAGGAAAATACTAAACAATTGTTCTATCTTTCTGAGACATAAATAGCAGAAAGAAAAGATACACCTTAGGCCACCTGTATTCTTGCTTTAGCAAAATACCATTTTTAGGCTAGAACAACGTAAGGTTACCATTTAAAGATGAGGACTAATTTGCAAATAAGCATGTACTTTAAGTGAAGGAATCCCAGATTCTGTTTACAGGTAGGACTTGGAGAGACATCTGAAATCCTGGAATACTATCAGTAATCACTGTAAACAGTACTGAGATAGGGTAACTTTATATTTTGCTTCATTAGTTTTATATTTTGCAGTCTTAGCCATTCCATTGTGACTCATATAATTTGCTAGACCGAAAGCTTGGTTATCTTTTTTTAAGAAATAAATGCTTATTTTTTTTAAAAAAGTGATCTGCAAACAGAAATAACTGAATGGAAATTTGAACTGGGCAGCCAAGTTGCTTAAATTTTATTATAATCTAGGTAATTTACTACCAACCTTTAAACAAAATCCAGAATGAATTTTGCAAGCTGTAGATACTCTTGCAGCCAAAGCATATTTTTTGGCATTAGGCTTATGTTTAACAACTTGCCTAATAGATGCATCCAGTTAGGATTTATGAGTAGGTTGATGAAGCCATTGAAAAATGGATCAATAATTTTCTCTGCTTCTTTATGTCTGTGATTGCAGAAAGTATTCTCCTTCATTGGTAGTATCTTCCTTGCTAGAAATCAATTTTTTAAAAAAATATTGATCCTTTCTTTGCCAGCCACCTTAAAAATCCAGACAACTAGACTTGTAGGAGACAGGTAAAACATCTTTTACTGGTGATAATGCTTTAAAATACTTAAGGGACCGTATACACATCTATGCAGAAATAAATTATTTGAAGATTGTTTTGCAGCCATAATATTCCTCAGTTACCTTTTCTGCTCCAAACATTTTTTCCATGTGTTCCAATTTCAGACTGCCAATACTATTAATTGCAAATCCTGTGCTGTTTTTCTATGGTAGTTGAACCCATAATAGTTCAATAATCTTTTGTGATCGTCATGCATAGGCTAGTTCCATTAATCACTTTGACATGATAGCTACCATGTATAACTAGTCAGAATGTTGTTTTTCTTGCTAACTTAGAGGAAGCAAGGTGTTTGTCCCTTCTTCCAAATCAGCACAGATGTACAGCATGTGCTTTTGCTGTATCTCTATTTCCAGAATGAAATAAGTGGGAAGTTCTACCTCTACCTTGCAGGAATGATATGAAATGTGTTTTGTTATGAGAATTCGTGCTTTAGGAGCCACCAGTGAGGAAATCACTTAAAAAAATGGCTTGTGAGTTTTATATTTCAGTATCTGCCTTAGACCTTCATTTTAGCCACTATTACTGAAGGCCGGTTTGCCCACATCTTGCTGTTCCTCAGATGTTGGAAAAATATTTGCAGCACTAGAAGAGCCTGCACTTTCTTTTTTTGCTGAGAGTGTAATGTCAGAACAATGTAGCAATTCTCAAACTGAAATGTATATTTTTGCTAGAAGTTCAGATTTCAGATGTTTAAAAACAAATAGGGACTGACAACATTAAAGATAGAAATAAATATTTAAGAAATAATTACAATGTAGCTCTTCTTTTACCTATTCTATCCTTAGCTTCCCTGAGGATCTAGATTTAATTTTTCTGTTAACAAATTTCACAAAAATACTGAACAATATCTCTTAGTCACAATGTATTATGCACTTTTTTTGAGTAATGGTAAAATCTTTTTCGGGCAAAATTGATTTCTGGTCCTTGGGTTCTTCAGTTTGTTTTACTCTGAATATGAATCTTTTTTAAAAAGAAAAATAATGTATTTAAACTGAAATAGAAGCATACTGAAACACAAAAGCCAATTTAAGATATACTTTTGGAAGTACAAATATAAAAATGATTAATTTTGTCTTTAGCATTAATTTAGACTTTCAGGTATAAACATGTTTTCCTATATGCAAATACTATGAAATGCCATAAGTTTCAGAGTTTTACATAGATCTGTTTGCATATATAAATCCACAAGAGACTGTCAATGTGACATGCTGTTAAACAACATTTTCTCTTGTTTGTGTGGACTTTGTTCATATCAGTATATATAGCCTTAGGCCAAACTGACTACAATTTGAGCTTAGACATAAGAGCTGATAGGTAGGATGCTGACACAAAATTCCAAAAAAGTATTTGTACAAATGATATCTCATTGAGCATAGTAGGTTATACTTCTGAGAAAAGATATATGGGATTTCAGTACATACTTCTACATAGTTGTGCAGGTTATTTCATGTTGAAACCTTTAAAAATAGTGCTTCATACATGTAAAATACTTAAGTTTTCATTTTAGTAAGACTAACTTGGCAGTGGATCTTTATCTAACTGGATAAATGGCCTTATGGTAATTATTCAATCCCCTTCTAGCTTAAGCAGTCGTTAGAGATTGCTTTATGAAATCCATTGCTCCCAATGCATGAAAATGCTTGTAACATAAGTTAAATTAACTGCTAAGAATGTCCAGGACTCCTGTGTTGTTTAACTATGCTCCTTTTTAAATTTTGAATTTGGATTCAAGCTTACAGTGCTTGTAGCTGTTTCACATAATATCAAAAAGACATACATAATATTGCTACCTCATTTTCCCACATTGTATAATCTGATGTTGAAACATACAGTGATCTATTTGTACATACTATGAACTGGAAATATGGCTTGGCTCTATGGGAGCTGTTTGCAGGTTCTGAAACATGAGGAAAATATTTAAAGAAGCATGAGGAGAAAAAAAACTCAACAAATGAAGAAGGTAATATTTTAGCTTATTGTTGAGTAAGGAAAGGAAGAGTCTGCAGATTTTACTCCACTAGGCATTGCCAATAATAGGGGGCCGTGCTTATCTCCATTTTAAGGCCATGCTGTCAAAAGACATGTCTATCGTCATACGGCCAGCATGATATCAGGGAAAGCTGTTTCCTCCCTACCAAAGCAATACTTCTCTATCAACTTGAATTTGCATGCTTTCAAACTGGACAGGAGTCAGGGGAAGACGGGTGCTCACACCTGTCATGCAACTCAAGTTCTGAACCCAGGCTGTCAGCCTGCCAGGCAAAAAGCCTAGCGTCTCAACCACCAAGCCATTGCGCTGCTTTTTGGGTGAACAGAGTAACCCGTATCCACTTAAAATAGACTTTTATGCAAAGAACCCAAGCACATTCTGATTTAATAGGGGATATAATTAATGTATTAAGATATATATTAATAAGACACTGCATGGTTACTTTCCTACATTCCCACTCTCATCTCATAATGAATTATTCAAAACAGTGCCTATAAAGTCTGTGAAAAGTAATGATAGCAAGAGAAAAAAATGATACGATCAAATGTTTCCATTAAGTTCACGTGTATCCACCTATCGGTATGAATGCCTTTCATTATTTTTCATTAGGCTGGGGAAGAATGAATAGTGTGTGTAGTCTACTACTTTTTGCGCAGTCTAAGCAATAAGCTGACTGATTTTCAGTGGAACAACTCAATCTGATGAGCAATTTTTGCATTCTTCTATTGATTGGCTAGAGAAGGAACTGACTGGTTGATGCTGTTTCTTGTTTTCATCAGAGTTGTCAGAAGTGAAGGGCATCTGTATGACTAGTTTGCAAATGCTTTGAAATAATTTGGGAAGGGAAACAGTACCATATAGAAGTGTGCTAGTTATTCAGGATGTGTTCTCCTCTTAAAGATGATTCTTTTAATTATGAACCATTGAAGATATAAATAGTAATTACAGAAATGGGTAAACACTACTGACTAGTTGCTAAAAATGGCATTTCTATAAGTTCTTACCTAGACAGTGTCCTTATATTTTTAAAGATATTGAAAGCATTTCATAGATTTGCTTCAGCAACTTTAACAACAACAGCTGAATAAGATCAGTATTATTCCCATAGCAGAAAGAAGTTGGAAGGATGCAGTTAGTGACTAGTTAATTTGAATCTGACAAATATGCTATGAATTAACCACAATCTCCCAGTTATGTATGCATGCTTCTATACCCCAAAATTTACATGCTTCTATACCCCAAAATTAACATGCTTACCTTCCAGACATGTTTGTAGCAAGAGAATGTATGAAGCATTTGGAATACAAAAAAGTGCCTTAAGAATGCTAAATGTTATGATATGAAATTTTGAACTGGAGATTTCTAATTCATGTTCTTGGCTTTACCATATGTGTGCCGATAAATTTACATCCCACAGCTAAGATCTCATATATTTTGAATTTGACTATTTAAAATATATGATTGCTGTGCTTTCCCCTGCCATATATTTAGCAGTTTAACATCCTAAGTTCATTTGTTTCTGGCAAGAGAGCACTGAATCCATGTAATGTTTGATTACTTATAAATGTTCAAGCAGATGCATAATAGAAAGATATTCCTAAAAAGCATCATTGCAGGATATACCTACAGGGAATGATCTAATCTAGTTTCAAGTATTCATTCAAACTGCCTCTCTCAAAAACATTTACTTTTTGCCAATCAAATCAGAGAAAACCAGAGAAACAGTCACAGTCTTATTTATACTAATCAAGATAACGTGAAACATTGAAAGATTTGGAAACATTGAAAGTACAAAATGCCGTTACTGCAGAACTATATAAATGGGAATAAAAGTTCACATCTATAATAAGTCAATCTCTTATTTGGAATCAACTTAAAATACATGAAAAACGTGTCCAACCTTTCAAGGTCCATCCTCTTATAAGAAGGTCTGGGAGGTGGTGTCACCTTTACTTCAAAAGACTCAGCAATTATACTAGCATCTAGAGATGGATTGAAATGATGTCAGAAAAATAGCATTTCTATCAGCACTGGAATTTAGGTAGAATCTAAGTAGTTTGTGGTTCATTTGGAAGCTTTGCAAAGGACTTCTAGTGTCTTTAAAAAGTAATTTTAAAACAAAAGCTACGAGGGGGGGGGGAATAAAGTTTTTAAGATCTTTAAACAGATATGGTATTTGTGTTGCATCCACCCTATAGAAATCTACTGGAAGTACAAACTGGATTATTTTAACTTAGAATCTTCTTGTGTTTCCACATTTTGTTCTTCATTTTCCTCTTTCTCATCCCCGCCCCAGAATTGTGGAGGAAAAGGTGGCAGTGTAGCATATCTCTTGACTTATAGGGCTAAGAGTCATTACCTAAAAGCTCTTATATATTTTAATAAAACAAAAGAGATATTTTGGAACATTTTAAAGACTCATTTATTCTAGCCTTATACTTATGTTCATTTCTATTCAGTTTTATTATCCACTGCAACCATTGTGAATCAACATTAAAGATCATAATTTGTACTTTTTTCGAAGATGCATTTCAGATATAAAAATACAAGTTTCATGGTTGATTAAAATAGGTATATTAAGGTTTATGCCATAATTCAGGGGTGTCAAACTCTCAATGTTATGTGACATGTCGTGACGTATCGCGACTTTTTTTCCATTGCTGGCAATAGGGTGGGTGTGGTTTCGGCAGGGCGTAACTGGCCTGTGGGCCGGCAGCTTGACACCCCTGTCATAATTCTTTTTGAGTATCAATGGAAACATTTCAGATACTGAATACTTATATTCTGTCTTATTTTTACATACGTAAAACAGTCTACTGGGTTTTCTTGGTTCTTCATTTATCTTCCTTTGCCAACCTTCCTGCTTTGCCAACCTTCATAGACTTGCTCAGCCCTGTTTTTCTTTCCACCAATCTCATGTTTTCAAAATTGAAGATTAGCTATATTTTCTTTGTGATAAATTTAATCTAATACTTAAAACTTGTACTTACTTAGAGTCCTTCAAACTGGGTTGACTCCTAGTGATTACATAGACCAGTGGTTCTCAACCTGTGGGTCGGGACCCCATATGGGGTCGAAAGACCATTTCACGGAGGTCGCCAAACAACGCAGTCCGCCATTTTTTTTCTCCTTTTCCTTAGCTGTGCTATTCCCTTTTATTCTATTGGCTTTTGAAAGCCAATAGAATAGACTCTCTTGAATAGAGTCTAATTCTATTGGCTTTCAAAAGCCAATAGGAAGTGTCCAGGCTGTCTCTGCCCTGCTGAGCCCGCCAAAAGTCCCATTCTGCAAACAGTGCTGCACCAGTTGAGTAGTCCTCGACTTACGACCAGTTGAGTAGTCCTCGACTTATGACCGGTTGGGGGTCGCGGCATTAAAAAGATTGAGAACCACTGACATAGACAAATTGCTCCATTCAACTTATATGCTGTTTCCATCTAGTTTGCACAAGATTAAAGGGGCTTTTTCATTGTCTCCCTATAATTGATACATGCCAACAATGTGCCTCTATATTTTAGGTAAAACAAACGGTGCAAACTTTGTGCAAAAGATTAATACCAATTTGCCAAAAGGTCTCAAAACAAAGACAGAGTAATATAGCATTTCTCCCAGGATACTGTTTCAGACCTTAAAGTAATCATTTTGGAAAAAATGAGACTTTAATACCATCACTGATTGGGAGGTTGCTGAACTAAAATACTTCAAAATGTTTCATTCGATCTCAAAGGTCTCAACAAGCACAATGATGCTTTAACACATTACATTTTTTTATTGAGAAGGTACTTGTAATCCATCTTACTTGTAACCCCTACCTACTAACCTACTTGTCTTCCCCTCCCCCCCTCCCTTTACACTTCACTCCAGTTTAAATCCTCCATCAGTCTAGGCATTCCATGAAACCAGTGAATTGCAGTTCACAAAAGCTTATGACTTCTAATAAAATTGGGAAAGATGCTACCAAAACCTTAATGGGTTTTTGCCACCACAAACTAATACAACTGTCCTACGGTGTGTATTATTATCACCATACTCATTCATTCATTTTGAATGGCTGCCCATCTCAAATTCATGATTCTGGGCAACTAACATTTAAAATACTTAAAAAACAAAAATACATAAAAAAACCCAAAACTATAACACTATAATAATAGAAAATATTTGTAGCTCAGGTTTTAGATTTTGGCTGTGGTTTGTTCTCAAAGCTTATTTCAATATAATTTCTGAATGTCTCATTACCAAAC